GGTCCACATATTCCACACTCATTAGTTTTCTTTCTCAATTTGGGACCTTTACTGAAGCAGCATGATCTGGGACAACGTATGTTTTAGGTATGTTTTACATCACTTTCAACTCAACTAGTTCATATAAGTAAGTGCTGAAGACTAGGTGTTATAAGAGATTAAGAAACACAAAAAAAGAAAATGAAGGAGGAGAGAGATAAGGATGACAGATGCACGATAGTGAAGAAGGAACAAAACACACACAAGCACCCGCCAACCACCCACAGCAACAATTTTGAGCCACATTCTTCTCTTTTGCCTGAAAAACAATATGACAAACATAAGTTTCTCATGCAAAATCAAAACAAACAAAAAACCACACACACAAAAAAAAACAAACAGGATAAACAGCAGCAGCCACAATGAATCACACCGCTCCAACCCAAAAGGTGAATAATGTCGGTGTGTCGCGAGCAATACAATTAGTTTTCGTAGATCCTAGTTTCGTTCCAACCAAGAATTATGAAAAACGAGACGAATACTGTAACTGTAAGCCATGACCATCATAGCATTCATCTGCATTATGAGGAGGTTGAAAGGTGCATCTTTGGAAGAGCTTTGGGGGAGAGAGGGAGGGGGGCTTTGGGAGATTGCAAAAATAGAAAATTTTCCAAATTTGGTCTCAGTGAATTGCAAGCAACAGTAATAATAATAATAATAATAATAATAATAATAATAATAATAATAATAAATAGCATTTGTATAGCGCATATCCCCGCTCAACAGCAGGCTCTATGCGCTTTACACTATATTATTACCCCAGCAGACCATAGAACACTCCGAAACATTCTCAGCTTCCCGGGAAACATATAGTGCAAGTAGCTGATTAAGCGCTCAAACACTAACAAACTGACAAAATCTTTCGCTGTCTATAGCCGGGTACCCATTCCCACCTGGGTGAAGTGAGGAAAATCTGTGTAAAGTGCCTTTCCCAAGGACACAACGTCGGGCCCCTGACGGGATTCGAACCCACGACCTTACGGTTGCGAGTCCGAGAGCCTAACCACTAGGCCAGGGACGCCAGTATCCACTGCTCCGCTATCTCCCAGCTTAGAGAGCAGCGGTGTGTCAAAGTATGGAGCTGTACTGCTGTGCCAAGGAAGACCGACGTATGTGCACAAATTATTAATTTTTGCATCTTCGTTTAAGCGGACGCCTCTACCCATTCTGCATCTTATGTCAAAGGCAGGAAGACGTATCTGCACCACAAATAGGATATTTCACTAGGGCAAACAGACGTAACTGTGTGTGTGTGTGAGTGTGTGTGTGTGTGTGTGTGTGTGTGTGTGTGTGTGTGTGTGTGTGTGTGTGTGTGTGTGTGTGAGTGAGAGAGTATGGGTGTGCGTGTATGTGTGTGTGTGTGCGCGCGCCCGCCCGCATGTGTGCGTGTGTGTGTGTGTGTGTGTGTGTGTGTGAGCGCGTGCACACGCGTATAAGAGAGATAACAGCCTGCTTCTATCCACTGCAACAAGGAAGAACCTAGAAAACTTTTTTGCTCTCAACATAAAAGGGTTGGGCCTTAGAGGATGTGCTCAAACTGCTGCTGATCTTTACCTTAACAACAACAACAACAACAACAACAACAACTACAACTACAACAACTTTACGAACATCAGTTCCAAACTAAAACACAGACAAAAATGCCCGACAAGCCATCTCTCCCTCAGGCAAGGGCAGATAACCGCAAGCACCCAGCACACGCGGCAAACAGCCAGATCGGAGAAAAATAATTTTTTAAAATAAAAAACTCCAAACTCCAAACAAACAAGAAGATAAAAGCCCAAACAAATCCACCGCAGTGACAATGCAAAAACCGAAGGAGGAGGAGGAGGAGGAGGAGGAGGAGGAGGAGGAGGAACAAAACACAAAAGGAACAGAGGGAGAAGGAGCCATGAGGACCGAACCCCAGACATCCAGCCAGCCAGCCAGCCACACTACACACACAGCCACAAACTCAACGCACCCACGGCTGGCGCAAGCTGGCCTACCACACACAAACACCCACACACAAACACCAACACACTAACACCCACACACTACAGCCTACTGGCTAAATGGGGCTACCACACCTTTGTTGCTGTGGAAGCTGAAATATGGAGAGAGAGAAAAAACACATCGGACGCTTATAATTCTAAACACTCATAATACCCGTATGTGCATTTTCCACAGCCATCTTGGTGATTGACAAAACAAAGTGTCACACATAATATTATATGTGAGGTGTGCTGACAAAATGAGTTTTCTTTCGGGTTTTAGCCGTATGAAAATTAATACATCAACTTTTTAGGTGGAGTTTATACAATTTGCAAGTGTGGAATAATAAAAGACACGTACGGTAGACTTGAACAAAATGGCATCAACTAAAAATCTGTAAATCTGACCCCAGTGTTGATTTTCAGCCGATATCTCCATTTTGGATCGCGAAAAGTAACTCATTTTGTCAGCACGCCTCACATATACATGCATAGCTGCCAACCAGTTCACAAAGCACATATTTAATTAATATTTTATACGCTTTTTAGGGTTGGGGAGGGAATATTCATTTTCATATTGGAAAATACATATTATCTGTTTTCTAGTATTGCCATTCCTTTCACAAGCTTTGATTTTATTACTCTAGTGACTCTTGTTTATTGTCAATGTTTGGGCTTGGCGGCACAGTGTTGGTACAAAGATATGCCGATAATGAGTTGGCAGTTTGTTTGTTGGCTTTCACTGTGCTGTTGGGCTGTAGAAGTAATGGTGTTCGCTGATAGGTCACTATAATAATGGCCTCCTTTTTTTTACTTTCTAGTTCTATGTCCATCGTTCCCTCTTGGATATATTTATCAGAGGGAGTGGTTCCAGGCAATAACCTCCGCCGGCGTCATCTATGATTCACGATTGGTAAAGAAAGGACCAAGAACAAGTCATCGATTTTACAAAAACCCTCCCGAAATATGAACTGTCTATCTTTGTCAGGTTTACAGAATAGTTCATCCACGTCAATGCTGTTCTATAATTAAGGCTAGTCCTTTTCAAATATCACCTTCTTGACATTTCGGCCTGAGTCTGGCTCTTGGATGAACACACTTCCCAGATATCTGAACTCCTCTACTTCCTTGATTTAACTCATTAAAAACGCGGTTTCTGGTCATTCATCAACGCTTGGAGATGCTCTCTTTTGGTGCATAACTTCATCAGCAAAACATATTTTTCTACTTTATTTTCTTTATCTGAAACGTTAAAAGGCTTTATATAGTGTGCATACTGTTAAATATGCACAATTATTTTTCTGATTTGTGTATGATGGTTCAAAATGTGCTTAAGTTTTGACTTTTCTCTGCAAATAATCGGACATATGTGTCCGTTACGTCCCCAAAGAGTTAAGAGTTGTCCTCTGTGATGTTTAGCTTGATTTTCATTGCCTCGGTTTTGCTTGAGCTGATCTACATGTTAACCCTTCCAGCCCAATGCGTGTATATTTTCAGAAGCGCTTGTACCTCCCACCATCCCAAGAGCGTATATTCTCAGTTTCAGGGGAGTACCGAATTTACGCATTTTTCAAAATTAGCTCGCCTAATTAAACTTTAATTTTCATAATATTCGTTCATTTACACCTTTACACATTCTTATATGTTATTATCTAAACCTCATTACAAAGATACCACATCACTTTTTAGAATGCAAGCCTCAATTTCTGAACTACTGCTGTATTGGCTGGGACTGGGGTTAGGGAGTGCACAAAAATGGCTGGGGCTGGAAGGGTTAAGAAATGAACAGCTTTTGTTCACTTTGTTCATGCTGTGTTCTTGGGGAGTCTTCTCGGTCAGTTTCACTTGGTAGGTATGCTCTGATCGTCCATAAAAATAAGCTTGTCGACTGTGATGTCTTCTAGTTTAGCCGCTGCTGCTGTTGCTCTTATCTTGTCTGTGCATGTTACAAATAGTAAAAGGGACAGTACACATCCTTGTCTTACTCCTGGTCTTATTTGGAACCGTCGTTTTTGTGTTCTTTGCCATGTGTGTCCTTCCTGCAGTTCAACTGTTTTTATATACAGTCATGATGTTTGAATTTATTGAATGCAGAAAAGCGGGTGTGAGGATTTGGAGTGGGATTACTTGACCAATGCTCATCGTCTTGACCCACCGCGTGGGTAGTCTGGGGTTTTTTGGGGTTTTTTTTAAAGTTGACAGCTATGTACATGTGTTCTGCGCTATACATTTAGGCAGAGGACCCGCATTGAAGAAGGAAGAAAATGAGGAAGAAAAGAGAATAGACAGAAGAGGATAGAGAACAAGGAGAAAGAAAATGCATAGGAGGAAAATAACTGATTAGTGAATTCCATCAAACACAGAGGTATTCATACAGAATTTTGCTCCATATAATATATCAAATCAGAACCTGAGGATGTATAAGTCAGTCAGATCTCAAAACGAAATTTGAGTGGCAGTGAAAATTTTGACTTTGCTTTGTTTGTTTGCATAAAGAGAGGCACATCGACACTACAATGGTCAAAAATTTTATAGAGTTTGACACTAAAACAGTTCCTACTTTTTTTTTAAAAAGGACACTTCATGGCATTCAGCTCATTATCATTTTCCATCAAGGCCTCATGTCGTTCGGGTTTTCAAACTTCTGAAACTTTTAAATTTATTCACAAATTCATCTGCCTGGAATATCACTTGTTGCTGGAATGTTCAAAACAGTTCTAAAAAGCATTTTTTTAAAAACAAACAACCACAACAACAAAAAACGTAGTCCTCTTTTCTATTTTAAAAAAAAAAGGTCAAGCTATGAGCCTAGCAGTGGTAACACATACACTATAAAGTGTAACATACGATAAAATCTCGCCAATGGTCACAATTAATGGATTGCATTCATATAGCGCATATCCAATTACACAATGCTCTATGCGCTTAATTAATTAAATTATCGGAGTGGCAACAGACGGAATAACAAGACGAGGAGGGGGGGCCCACCTTGCAGAGCGTCCAGTTTGTCGATCTCGTGCAGGAAGAGCGAGTGAACCTTCTCCACCTCCCGATCCGAGTCGATGTCCGCCTGGATGGCGGTCAAGGGGAGACCACCGGTCACCGGCGTGCAGCCCACAGAACTGTGCTCCGTCGACTTGCAGCTGGAAATACAAGGGAAGCGACCGTCCGTGAGCCCATCTTGGGTAAAGCATAGGTCTATCCAACAACACCGTCCGTCACCATCATCATTTGTTTTTGTTTTTGTTTTAGTAGAGGTTTTACGGCGCTTGCAACACAATAAGGTCATATAAGTGTCCAAGATTAGAAGTGTTACAAGAGAGTAACAAAACATAAAAAAGAAGAAGGGGAGATAAGGACAATAGATGTTTAACAGGAAAGATGAAGCAAGGAAAAGTACATCAACAAAGCAATGGCTTTAGTGCTGAGCAAAAAAACCCACAGACAGACAGACAAAAAAACAACAGAGGAAAGTTAAAGAAGTAGCACCTACCAGAGGCACCTTCCAACCCCCCGTACTGACAGAGACAAAGGACACACAATGATGTATGCAAAGGAGAGAGAGAAAAGGTCGCTTTTAAGGACAAGCGGGCTAACCCAGATTTGGGGGGGTTTCCAGAAATCTTGACCTACACCAAAAGTGGGTATTGCCCTACCTATAGGAGAAGTTTGGTTTCATCGGTGTGTATATTTGTTTGGTTATAGAGAAAACTCTCCTTGTCTTTTAAAGAAACAGAACAAGGTACAAAAACTTTACCTTCTATTTTCTCAAAACAGCATTTTTCGGGATAGCCCCCTTGTGCTTAAAAGCGACCAAATAATAAGTTCAGAAACTTAAAACAAAAAACAAAAAACAAAAAGAAAAGACAAGAATGACACGACACACGTACATCCACAAACACGTACGACCTCGCACGAAGTAGTACACTCACCACAGCCAGTGGTTGTTGACGTAGGCTGCTGGGTGGTACACCTTGAGGCGGTTCCTGTTGCTCTTGCAGATCTTGGTCAACAGGTCCAGCCTAATTAAATACAAGTAACAAGATCGTTTTAAATTATTGAGAAAGTGTTTAACGCAACAAGAGTTTTAGTTTTAGTAAGAGTATTACGGCACTCGCAACTGCATAAGGTCATAGCATCAAGAGAGAGACCAGTCAGAGAAGAGGTGGGAAGACGGCGGTGGCGATGGATTAGACTTAACTCTCAGGAAGTCAGGCAGCTGCCTAACAGGGGAAAGTGTTGGATTCTAGTATTAATAAGTGTTTTACGGCACTTGCAACACAATAAGGTCATGTTATAAGTGCCGAAGATTAGAGGTGTTACAAGAGAGTAACAAACATAAAAAAGAAGAAGGGGAGATAAGGATGATAGATGTTTGATAGGAAAGAAGAAGTAAACCACACAAGAGCACCCCCGCCAACCACCCACAGGAAAATATCTCTATCTCAGAGCTATGTTTGTACGTGGACTGTGTACATGGACTGTGTACATCTCTATCTCACAGTTGTGTATGTACGTGGACTGTGTAAATCTCTATCTCACAGTTGTGTATGTACGTGGACTGTGTAAATCTCTATCTCACAGTTGTGTATGTACGTGGACTGTGTACATCTCTATCTCAGAGTTGTGTTTGTACGTGGACTGTGCACATACCATTCCTTCTCCTCCACACAATGACCCGCTTGGATGTACAGAGCACGCTGGGACTGGACCACTTGGAACATCTGAGGGAGGGGGAGAAACGAAAGAAACATGTGAGACATCCTGGTGAGATCAGGCACTCGTCAAAATAACAAAATCAAAGAAATCGGCACCTTTTGGCCGATAGGCAATTTTTTAAAATTTTTCTTTATTTGGCTAACATAAAGAGAGTAACAAACATAAAAAAGAAGAAGGGGAGATAAGGAAGATAGAGGGTTTTACGGCGCTCGCAACTGCATAAGGTCATATGAGCGCCAAGGGGTGGATGTCAACAGAGAAGTCCTTACAGGGAATCA